CTGCTCTCCTTTTCTCTCCCCCTCTCCCTCCTTCCCCGATCTGCTCGCCCCCCCCCGAGGCCCGCGCGCGGGCGGCCCAGGAGGCCGAGGAGGAGCGGCTGGCGGTGGAGGCGGCCGAGGCCGCCGAGGCCGGCGGGGGGTGCCTCGTTTGCTCGAGACGCACGCGCTGGCCCCGATCTCCGACGATGCGTCTCTCTCTCTCTCTCTCTTGTTGGTGGAGGTCGATTGGTGGAGAGGAAGCGTGCTGCCAAATAGGTTCCAGATGTCTAGAGGATGTTTCCAGCATGCATTAGATATGTGAGCAAACACATGTGATGTGTGAGACATGTTTAGAACATGTGTTACACGTCTTAAGCACGTCTTTCATTCAATGCTAGGATTGTTAGAGTGTCCATTGTCATGGCATCCACAACTTTCTCTGCTTGTTTGTCAGTGAATCGCTCGGTTGGGATACGGTCATGCCCTTTGGCCCAGCGTGTCGCGTCGCCGGTTCCAGCCCACTGCCCTCCGGCGCAGCACGCTGCCCACTTCCTGGTCCCGGAGCGTCAACGCCATGAGTTCAGTTCTACTCGGGGGCCCCCGAACGGGGTGGTGACCACACCGTGCGGTGAGTCGGTGAGGATTCGGGGTCACCGCACGGTCTTGGGACTCGGGTCGTTCTCCGAGGACGTCTCGGGCGACAGGGGCCTCCGGGGTCCCAAAACCGTGCGGTGACGGAACGTGCGGTGAGGTCTCGTGGGGTTCCGAGGTCACCGCACGGTCTGTCACCGCAACGTTTCGGGACTCCAAATCTTCCGGACTTCCCCCCCGGCGAAGTGGAACTGTACACTATCCACTCGCAAGGCACGGCGTGTCGCCAGGGCCGCCGCCGCGACACGCTGCGCAACAATTTCTGGCCGTAGCCCTCCTGAGGAGCAGCGGATTTTTCGATCTGTCTTCTCCTTTCTTCGTGGAGGGAAAAATATATCATTCGACTTCTTGGAGTGCTCTTCTTGGATTTCGGCCTCCAGGGGTGGCTTCCAGATCCCGCGACCATCAAGCAGGGGTCCGGGGCGATAAGCTACTACGCCCAGGGAAGGGCTCGGAAGAACACGCAAAGGGCCTCGCTTGAAGGATCGAAGGGTCCCCAATCCCTTTCGTGTTTGTGTAATCGCGACGAACGGTTTCTGGTCGTTTTGGCCCTCCCGGGGGCCTTCGCTGGGCCCGGACCAGGACAGAAACGGCTCGGGATGAAGAGCCAGTCCCGGGCAAGGGGTCCAGATCTCCAGGCACGTCGATGCCGTGACGACAGGTCACGGCGTCGGAGATCTGGGACGGGCCTCGCCTCCGAGCATCGAAGGGGCTGAATCCTCCTCCTCCTCCTCCTCGGCGGCGGGCCGCGGAGGGGCGGCTGAAGCTGGCGGGACCAGAACGAGCGAGAGCGGCTGCGCTGGGGGAGGCAGGCGGAAGCAAAGAGTGCACCCCGAAGAGGTGTGGCCACTGCTGCGGGTCCAGGGCTCCCGCGGCCGGCCACGTTCGGGTATGGCCAGGGCCCCAGGCAAAGGGGACCTGGTCAGTGGCAGGGTTCTGGCGCCCCTCAGTTGGCCAGAGCCACTGCACCAGGTCTGCCGTAGCCTGTGTGATTTCGGTCGGCGGCAGTTCCGGTCAGTGGAATGGGGCGGGGGTGCGTCCTCCAGTACACATCACTAAACCAGGCCCCACTGAACTCAGTTCTGCCAGCGCCCGACGTGTGTTGAGGCGCCTGAGGTCAGCGACGTGCTTCGTCTCAAGGCGAAGTCGACGCGGCCCGTCTCCACATCGGGGGGGCATCGGCTCCGTGCTTCTGGCACCCGCGCGGCCAGATCCGCGGATCCGCGATCGATGTCAGCGTGCGCCCGAGAGGCAGGCTGCGCGACACCACAGGGCCCAAGAGCGGCCTGGCGAGGGGCCGACATCTCCGTGCCAGGCAGTGCTCTAGAAGGTCTGCTCGAGTCTCTTGGATGGGCGCTGGGCCTCCCCTCTCTGGCGCGCGGAGCGCGCCAGGGGCGGAGCCGCAGGCGTTTCCAGGGGGGCCCGCAATGGTGACGAACACGGGTTGGGGCAACCATTGCCAGCATTCAGAGAATATTACCAATAATAGTGACAATAACATTACAATAACATTAGTGATAAAAATGATCGTGGTAACCGTAATTCTGTTAACCTGGTTGATAACGATGCTAATGCTAAAACTGATCGTACAACAAAACAATACTTTCAACAATCATGACAACATTTCTAGTTCTACTACTATGACTATTAGTAGTAGTAGTAGTAGTAGTCGTAGTCGTAGTCGTAGTCGTAGTCGTAGTAGTAGTAGTAGTAGTAGTAGTAGCAGTAGTAGTAGTAGTAGTATTAGTAGTATAGCGTAGTAAGTAGTAGTAGTAGTATAGTAGTAGTAGTAGTAGTAGTAGTAGTAGTAGTAGTAGTAGTAGTAGTAGTAGTAGTAGTAGTAGTAGTAGTAGTAGTAGTAGTAGTAGTAGTAATATAGTAGTAGTAGTCGTAGTAAGTAGTAGTTAGTCGTAGTAGTCGTACGTAGTAGTAAGTAGTCGTAGTAGTCGTAGTAGTAGTATAGTAGTAGTAGTAGTAGTCGTAGTAGTAAGTAGTAGTATTAGTAGTAGTAGTAGTAGTAGTAGTAATACTACGACTCATGCGACTACTACTACGACTCCTACTATTACTATTTCGACTACTACTAATTCTTCTTCTTCTAATGCTGTTACCAATATTAACACTTACTGTCCATACTCCTACTACTTCCTATGCTGCGATTAATTATACTTCGACCCTTACTTCGAATACTGATGTTACTAGTCGTAGTATTCCTCATATTAATTTCTATAATACTACTAATGCGTGTCCTTTCTTTTCAAATGTTGACACCATCATTCTTCGTACTATTACTATGTTGATTCCTTCTACTACCCGTGTACTACTACTACTACTACTACTGCTACTACTACTACTACTACTATTACTAGGACTACTACTACTACTACTACTACTACTACTACTTCTACTACTACTAGGACTACTAGGACTAGGACTACTACTACTACTACTACTACTACTACTACTACTACGACTGCTGCTACTACTACTACTACTACGGCTACTAATGCTACTACGACTACTACTACTTCTACTACTACTACTACTACTACTACGACTACGACTACTACTACTACTACTACTACGGCGACTACTACTACTACTACTACTACTACTGCTATTATTCTTATTACTACTATTATTTCTACTGCAACTACTATTACTATTATTGTTACCAGTACTACTTCTACTATGGCGACGACTGCTACTATTCTTACAACAACAGTGACTACTAATACTATTACAACAACTACTATAACAGCTACTACTACTGCCACCACCCATCATACGAATCATCATAGTGAGAGTCGCTATGGCAAGAAGAACAAGCATAGGAATAGTACGAGACATAGTAACCGCGAGAGGAACAACTAACGCCGCATGGGCATCATTTCTGTGAGGCCTGCGCGGATTTCTCGCATCGGCGCTGGGCCCTCCTTCCCTGGCGATCTGGCGGGGGCAACGCATGCCAGCATTCGAAGAAGAGGCACCGTCACAAACCTGAGCTCTTGGAAGCCCGCGTGCACTTCTGGGATCGGCGCTGGACACGCCTCCCTGGCGCGCAGAACGCGCTGGGCTGGGCGCCAGAGGCGCCGCGAGGGGTGTCCAGCGCCGGTCTGAGAAGTCCGCGCGGAGTTTAGACAAATCATGTTCATGCCGTTCTTCTTGTACTTCTTCGACAGGGGGAGGGATCGGGTCGGATCGGATGGAGGCTCACAGTCAGCCTGTACAGAGCACCAGAATGAAACGCACACGGCGAACACACATGTGCATAAAAGGCTTGCGGGCAAGCGCCCCTGACCCAGGCGGGTGAGGTGTAACGCCACACTCGGTGTGAATGCTGGCCGCTCCCGTGATTGCAAGCTCCAGGGGGCCAGCTCGGGAGGAAGGCCTCGGAGGCTCGAAGGCCTGAGCAGGCGTGCGCCAACCCAGCCGGGAGGGAAGGACACGGGGAGGGAGAGGAGAGAAGCACAACACTTGAAGCGGAAAGGCCTGAGACTTTACAGAGTGTCAGGCTGCCTGCAACAGTGCCGCCACTCCACAGCGGCAGCTGAGCAAGCCACATCTTGCAATACAACGGCGAACGGTCAACGCTGGGCCATTCGTGGCGGTCGCGTGCACCAGAGAGGGGCACCGAGAATGCGACGACGATGGGCAGGCAACGCCGACAGAGGTCACACGCGTGTGCCCTGGCCGCGGGGAGAAGGGGGGTGGCCCAGAGGGGGGAGCGGGCGAGCGGGCGCCCCTAACCGAAAGGCAGGTTGGGGCGAGCAGTGGTTTCCGAGCCACCGCGAGCAGCAGTACAAGCTAGATTTTTTTGTTTTATATATATATATATATATATATATATTTATACACAAGTGGCACGTGTGTGCCCAGGCTCACACCAACAAACTGAAGGGGCGTTTGAAGCAGGCGTGACATGCAACAGCGAAGTCGCACTCGAGCGCAAGTGGGGTTGCCACACTTTGCGATGTGCGTACCAGGGCCCCCCAGGAAGCCTCAGGAGGCCCGACTTGGACACCAGAAGAGGCTCCAGGAGGCCCCAGGATTGTGAGTGTGTTGTGTGTGTGTGTGTGTGTGTGTGTGTGTGTGTGTGGTGTGTGTGTGTGCTCTGTGTTGTGCGTGCTTTTTGTGCGTTGCAGGTGTTGTGTGTGTGTGTGTTATGTTTGTCTAGCGTGTGATGTGTTGGGCGTGATTTGTGTCTCTGTGTGTGTGCATGTAGTTCTGAGGTCCCAGGAGGCCCCGGGAGGCCCCAGGCGGCCTCAGGGGGCCCCAGGAGACCCCAGGAGGCTTCAGGAGGCCCCAAGAGACTCCAGGCGGCCGCAGGAGGCCCCAGGAGGCCCCAGGACCCCAGGAGGTTTCAGGAGACTCCCAGGAGGCTCCGAGGCGGGGTCTGTGGTACCAGAAGGTTCAGAAAGCCCCAGGAGGCCCCCAGGAGGCTCCGAGGCGGGGTCTGGGGTACCAGAGGGTACGTCGGGGCTCGATTTTGGGAGGATGTTTCAGCCGAAACCGCCATTCTTTGAGAATCGGGGTCAAACTTATTCCCAACCAACCTGTGCTGTTGGGTCCCCGTTTTGAAGAGACGGTCCCCGCGTTCTCCTCCTCCTCCTCCTCTCCTCCTCCCCCTCCTCCTCCCGCTCCTCCCTCCTCCCCCTCTTCCCTGCGCTTTACCCACCCAGTACAGCGTTTCGTGGCCCCATAGGGAGCTCCACCGAAGGCCCCAGTGCCACCGTCCACATGCGTCCCCCCCACTCAGTACAGCGCTTCGTGGCCCCATAGGGAGCTCCACCGAAGGCCCCATTTCCACCGTCCACATGCGTCCCCCCCACTCAGTACAGCGCTTCGTGGCCCCATAGGGAGCTCCACCGAAGGCCCCAGTGCCACCGTCCACATGCGTCCCCTCCACTCAGTACAGCGTTTCGTGGCCCCATAGGGAGCTCCACCGAAGGCCCCAGTGCCACCGTCCACATGCGTCCCCCCACTCAGTACAGCGTTTCGTGGCCCCATAGGGAGCTCCACCGAAGGCCCCAGTGCCACCGTCCACATGACGCCCCCCCCCATTCAGTATAGCGTTTCGTGGCCCATAGGGAAGCTCCACCGAAGGCCCCAGTGCCACCGTCCACATGCGTCCCCCCCACTCAGTGCAGCGTTTCGTGGCCCCATAGGGAGCCCCACCGAAGGTCACAGTGCTACCGTCCACATGGATCCCCCCCACTCAGTACAGCGTTTCGTGGCCACATAGGGAGCTCCACCGAAGCCCCCTGTGGGACCGTCCGAGTGCGTCCTGAAACACCCAATCTGGCATTTTCACCCACCCACCCATTACAGCGTTTCGTGGCCCCACAGGGAGCTCCACCGAAGGCCCCAGTGCCACCGTCCGCATGCGTCCCGCACACCCAATGTGGCATTTTCACCCACCCAGTACAGCGCTTCGGGGCCACATAGGGAGTCCCACCGAAGGCCCTAGTGGGACCGTCCACAAGCGTCCCGAAACACCCATTGTGGCATTTTCATTCACCAAGTCCAGAATTTCGTGGCCCCGTAGGGAACTCCACCGAAGGCCCCAGTGCCACCGTCCGCATGCGTCTCGAAAACCCAACGTGGCGCTTTTACCCACCCAATACAACGTTTCGTGGCCCCATAGTGAGCTCCACCGAAGCCCCCAGTGGGACCGTCCGCATGCGTCCCGGAAGCTCAATTTGGCATTTTCACCCACCCAGTACAGCGTTTCATGGCCCCATAGGGAGCTCCACCGAAGCCTCCAGTGGGACCGTCCGCATGCGTCCCGGAAGCCCAATTTGGCATTTTCACTTACCCAGCACAGCGTTTCGTGGCCCCATAGGGAGCTCCACCGAAGGCCCCAGTGCCACCGTCCGCATGCGTCCCGGAAACCTTACTTGACACACCACTCACCCAGAACCGCGTTCCCCCCCACCCAGTGCAGCGCTTCGTTGCCCCATAGGGAATTTCACCGAAGAGGATGTTCACAATTGCGGTACCCACAACTGCATATGGTTGGGTCCTTCGCCAGGATACTTGAAATTACTATGTGTTTTTGAAGGTTTTATGTTATCATGTTGAAGTTCCCCTGTGTTTTGGACCCTGACGTCACGATCTGCGTGAGGGGTGCCACCGATTTTTTTCAGATTTCGAGGATGTCCCTAGCGAAACGGCCAGAAAAATCGCGAACGCGGCGCCCCGCGTACGCATTAATCGCCTCTGAGCTCTACTCCCTCGGAGAGGTGCGTGTATATATATATATATGTATATCGCGACAGACACACATATATTTATTTATTTGTATATATATATATATATATATAGAGCACCGTCTCGTGGTTCGACACTTTTGGGGGGCGCATGACGATTTGCGGAAGCCCTGTCGATGGAATTGCGCCGCGGCGGCACGCGGACCAGCGGAAGCGCGCGCGTCGGCTCCAATTCGCAAGAGCCGACGGCAGTTCGGCCCAGTCCAGCTCGGCAGTTTCTGACGAATTTTGGCAAGTCTCCAGACAACCTACCAAACATCGAACCACGAGAAGATTCTGCAGATAGAAGAGCAAGTAGCAATTGAGAGGCAAGTGTGTTCAAAAAGATTCACGATCGGCACAGCCACAGCATGATTGGGTACAAGGCTCTGGCCACGAATACACGAAAGCTTGTACATCACAGAAAGCAGCAGGGACAGCGCATGGAGACGATGGGGAGACCGATAGGGGTCTTCCCACAAGCCGAGAGCGTGGACACACCTAAAGGACACCGTGTCCAAACTGCAGAAATGAGTGCCATGAAGAGGAACGAATGGGCAGGCGCTACGCAGAACAACTAGAGTCAGCTGGCTCTGCTGCCTGGCACTAGGAAAAAGTTTGAAGCATTCCGTGTTCTGCGATCGAGCCAGGCGATGAGGACACCCTTCGTGTGTGGAGACGGCATTGGACCTCCTTGCCTGTATTGCGCATCTTAGCACTGCGCCAAGGTCCATCATGAGTGATGCGCCCACAGAAGTGGCACGCTGGTGGCCGATCAGGAACGCACTTGAGGCAGTGGAACCAATTGCTAGTCGCTCGCGCGGCCGGTCATGACCACTTCTTACACGTGCTGCAAGACTGAGGTTGCGCTGTGCCTGAACTCTCGTTCGCAACCCGCTGCGGCTGCAGAGCAGGGGCCTGAGATGCGTCACGCGCGAGAAGTGAAGGCCTCTCTTGTTCTGGCATCGCACCGAACCTCCTAGCTTTCTCGTAGGAAGCTCCAGCAGGTCTTGCCTGGAGATGTTCGTTGATGCCTCCCACAAGCCACTCCTGGTGAGCTTTACATTGGCGTGATGACTCTCGGGCAGCCAGTGCTCTTCTGGTGTGGGAGCACACGGGTGCGTATCAGCATAGCTACTACACACCACTGCTTGCATGTCTAACGGAGCTTCCTCCGCCTCATCTGAAACAGCCTGGCGCGAGTGTCTGCTCTACCCTCAGGCCGAGGGGATTTGGAGCGCGATCGGGGGCGACCCATTGGGGCAGGCACAGGTGTGGGCCAGGACCGAAAGTTCTGTCGCAGCTGATCGTCAGACCTCTTTTGTCTGCTGTCTGCACTGCCAACAGTAAGAATATTCAACGCACGGCGCCTGGCAACTACCTCTCCAGGAAAGCGGGGCTTGGCCTTTGAGGTCGACAGGAGGCGTCCCATTTAGACAGACAGGGGAGCGTCACCTTCCACAATACGCTGGCTGTCACATGCATTGCTATCATCGCGAGCATCACTGGTCTTGTCTGAGGTCGGACGATGCCACTGGTTGTCTGAGGTCGGACGGTACTTGCGCACGGCCGGCTTTGGCCGTGCAGCCCTCAAATTCGAAATTGTTCGGTGGCGGCGGATGCACTGGTAGCGGAACAGCAGGACCATCTCTAGGAATTTGCAAGCGCTCATCGAGCGGAAACGGTGGAACAACGAGAATGCCTGGACCCCGATTTCCTATAGCAGGTCCTCCAGTAGGAAGACCAGCAGCAGTTGGTGCGGGCGGCGGCGGGTGGCGCGGCGGAGGCAGAGGCGCCGCAGCGCCCTACCACGCTGGGGGAGGGGCGGCGCTGACGGAGGCGGCATCGCAGCACCCTGTCTCACTGGGGGAGGCGGCGGCGTTGACGGCGGCGGCGTCGCAGCATCCTGCCACATTGGGGGAGGTGCCAGCGCGGCACTCTGGCACCGCATGCAGCCAATGCGGAGGAAGCAAGGGATAGTCTCTGCCTCTCGCCTCGTTCATGGCGACGCGGTCGCTCGCCCGCGTGAGTTGCACGCTGGGCCCGAACCGTAAGCGCGTGCGGGGAAAGGGGCAGCACCGCTGCGGCTATGGCTCGAGCCTGACATGAGGAGGAGGAGGAGGAGGAGGAGGAGGAGGAGGAGGAGGAGGAAGGTAGGAGGAGGAGGGAGGAGGACGCAGAGGAGGAGGAGGAGAGGAGATGTGAGGCGAGGAGAGGAGGATGAGGATACGGAGGAGGAGGAGAGACGGAGGAGGAGGAAAGGAGGATGAGGAGGAGGAGGAGGAGGAGGAGGATGAGGGGGAGGGGAGGCGGATACGGAAGGAAGGAGGAGGAAGGAGGAGGAGGAGGAGGAAGGAAGAGGAGGAGGAGTGAGGAGGAGGAGAGGAGGAGGAGGAGGGGAGGAGGAGGAGGAGGAGGGGAGGAAGGGAGGAGGGAGGAGGAAGAAGGAGAGAGGAGGATGAGAGAGGAGGAGGAGAGGAGAGGAGGAGGATGAGGAGGAGGAGGATCAAGCAGCAGCAGAAGCGCAGCAGCAGCATGAGGGGGGGGAGGAGGAGGAGGAGGAGGAGGAGGAGGAGGAGGAGGAGGAGGAGGAGGAGCAGCAGCAGCAGCAGCAGCAGCGGCGGCAGCAGCAGCAGCAGCAGGAGGAGGAGGAGGAGGAGGAGAAGGATATGGAAAAGAAACAGGAAAAGGAGGAGGAGGAGGAGGAGGAGGAAGAGGAGGAGGAGGAGGAGGAGGAGGAGGAGGAGACGCAGCACTCCTCCGCCCGCCGCCCCCCCCCCGATGACCGCGTGACCGCGCAGGCGGCCCGGCTGGCAGAGGAGGAGCGGCTCGCGCGGGAAGCTGCGGAGGCGCCAGCGGAGGCGCCTCCGCGCAGAGTTCTGTTGGGCCCAACGGCGGGAGGCTTCTGCCGGCTCCTCCTGCTGCTACTGCTGCTACTCCTGATGCTCCCGCTTGCTTCGGCCGCCGCGCGCGGCCCCGACTGACGCTGCGGGGTCATTGTGGCGCCTCAGAGTTTGCTCGCGCGGGAGGCGTCGGAGGCCGTGGCGGAGCACGCCTCCGCGCAGAGACCTGGAGGTCTCGAGGGCGGGAGGCTCCTGCTTTCTGCTGTCTCTCCCTAAGTTGGGCCCACGGCCCCGGTACTTGTCCATTCTTGGCACTGGTAGCGAACCAGGAGCAACCAATATAGACATAAACTTTCGGAGCTCCGCGCGGACTTCTCTTGTACCGGCGCCAGGCCCCCCTGATGGCGCCTCTGGCGCCTCCCTTGGCGCGATCCGCGCGCCAGGGGGAGGGAGTCCAGACCCGATCCAAGAAATCCGCGTGGACCTCCCTAGCAGTTTATGTTTACGCCGCTTTTCTTTCATCTCAACTGAACGAACGCCGTGGCCAGGCGTGCTGGCTCAATGTGCAGACGTGGCTGGCCCCAGCGCGTCGCCACTGCCTGTGTGCTACGAGTGTCTGCGGCCGTTGCCACATGTCTGAGATCTGATATATATATATATATATATATATACATATATATATACATAGATACACACGCTGCTCAAGCCAGAGGCGACGGGATGTCGGGGACGTAGTTGCATGTCGCGTTCCATGCTGGGGGAGGTTGCACTAGCTTTAGCGGCTGATAGGCGGCAGGCTCGGCGTATACGCTGGCAGTGGAATTTTGCAGTTGTCAGCAGTAGCATCATGATTTGGCCACGCGTTGTCGTGTAACGTCGAGCGGCATGTTGATTCATTTTTATGATCCCTCCTCCTCCCTCTCCCCCTCCTCGTCGTCCTCCTCCTCCTCCTCTTCTACCCCCTCCTCATCCAGCTTCTTCTCTTCTTCTTCCTCCTCCTCCTCCTCCTCCTCCCCTCCCGTCCTCCTCCTCCCTTCCTCCTTCCGCCCTCCTCCTCCTCCTCCTCCCCTCCCGTCCTCCTTCCTCCTCCCCTTCCTCCCTTCCTCCCTTCCTCCTCCCCTTCCTCATCCTCCTCCTCTTCTTTCTTCTCCTCCTCCTCCTCCCCTCCTCCTCCTCTGCTGCTGCCTGCTGCTCCTGCGCTGCTGCTGCTGCTGCTGCTGCCCCTCACATCCTCCTCCTCCTCCTCCTCCTCCTCCTCATCCTCCTCCTCTCCTCTCCTCCTCCCCCCCCCTCCCTCCTGCTCCTCCTCCTCCTCCTCCTCCTCCTCCTCCTCCTCCCCCTCCTCTCTCCTTCCTCCTCCTCCTCCTTCTCCGTCTCCTCCTCCGCCTCCTCCTCCTCCTCCTCCTCTCTCCTGCCTCCGTCTCCGTCTCTCCGTCTTCCTCTCCGTCTCCGTCTCCGTCTCCTCCGTCTCTCCGTCTCCGTCCGTCTCCTCTCCTCCTCCTTCGTCTCCTCTGCTCCTCCGCCTCCTCCTCCTCCTCCTCCTCCTCCTTATCCTCCTCCTCTCCCCCTCCCCCCCTTTCCTCCCTCCTCCCCCCTCCCTCTCTCGTCCTCCATTCCTCCCCCCGCCCCAGGAGGAGGCCGCCGCGCCCGCCCAGAGGGAGGGGCATGAGGAGCCGCTCGCCAGGGAGGGCGGGGGGGCGGCCGCGGCAGAGGAGGCCGAGGTCGAGGTCGACGTCCAGGACGAGGCGCCGCGGGGAGGGCGGGGCCAGAGCCTTCTCTCTCCACTCCTCCTCCTCCTCCTCCTCCTCCTCCTCCTCCTCCTCCCATACTTGGCTCTTCCTCGGGATGAGGGGCCGGACTCCAGCCGACAGGCCCCCCGCCGTGGGAAAGGGCAGCATGCGGGCACTGCTCGCCACCCTACGAGAGAGAGCCCTCGCCAGACGGCCCGGCCCGGCGCGCCCCGACCCGAGTGTGGCGCCAAGCGGTGCGGAGGAGGAGGAGGGGAGGCAGGGAGGGAGGCAGGGAGGGATGAGGGCGGAGGGTGGACGGAGGAGGAGGGAGGGAGGGATGAGTGACGACACAGGACGGAGGGAGGGAGGCACGGAGGGAGGAAGAATAAGGTTGAGGATGACGATGCTGAGGATGATGATCATGCTGATGATGATGCTGATGATGATGCTGATGATGATGCTGATGATAATGATGCTGATGCTAATGATGATGATGATGAACACGATGATTATGAACATAACTGCTGTGAGGAGGAGGAGGACTTGGATCAGGATGAGGATTTGGATCAGGATGAGGATGAGGAGCGTGATGCTGCTGATGATGGCGAATCAGTGGATGAGGACATGGGTAATGATGCTGCTGTTGATGATGATGATGATGATTACGGTGTTGATGCTGATGATGGTGATGCTGATGCTGCTTTTGATGATGATACTGATGACGGTGATGGTGATGATACTTACGGTGATGCTGATGATGATGTTGATGGCTGATGATGATGGCAGTGGTGGTGTTGATTTCGAGTGTGAGGGTGATGGCAATGGTGATGTTGAACATGCGGACATGCGGATGGGGATGATGACGAGTGTGATAATGATGGTGTGGATGGGAATTGTGATGATGAGTGTGCTGATGATAACGACGATGATGATCGTGATGATGCTGATGGCGATGATCATGATGATCATGATGATGAGGATAATGATGATTATGACGAGCATGATGATGATGCTGATGATGATGCTGATGCTGATGATGATCAGAATGATGATGATGTGGGTGATGATGAGGATTTTGATGGTGCTGGTGATGGTGGTGATGATGATGACGGTGGTAATGACGGTGATCATGACGACGATGGTGACGATTCTGATCATGGTGGCTCTGTTGATCACGGCAATGAAAATGATGATGATGACGGTGATGGTGATGATGATGCTGATTATGATGACGACGATGATGATGGTGATGATGATGATGCTGCTAATGATGATGATGCTGATGATGATGATGACGATGATGCTGATGATGATGATGATGATGATGATGGTGCTGCTGATGACGATGATGCTGACGATGCTGATGCTGATGATTATCATGCTGATGCTGATGATGATGCTGTGGATGCTGCATATGATGATAGAGATGATGGTGATGATGCTGGTGTTGTTGATGATGATAACGGTGGTGCTGCTGTTAATGGTGATGATGATGCTGCTGATGACGATGATGATTATGATGATGCTGATGATGATGATGATGATGATGATGATGGTGATGATGATGATGGTGATGCTGATGATGATGATGATGATGATGATGATGATGCTGATGCTGAGGATGCTGCTGATGATGATGATAATGATGTTGATGATGATGCTGCTGCTGACGATGATGAGGATTCTAACGGTGACGATGTCGATGGGGTGGATGATTATAGTGTTATTGTTATGGTTATCGTCGTCCTGTTCACATTTCTTGAGTAAACGTGTTTCGAATCCCACTGTTTCAGTGCCCATTGCTTTTTTAAATTGAAGTGTCCTTCCCAGGGCTGGCACCCTGCTTTTTACTAGGGGGAGTCTTCCGTCTCAGAGTTTGCGAGTTGGCCGATTGTTTACTACAGCCGCGGCTTCTGCCTGATGCTTCCCCAGTGTATTCAAAATCGCGCTCTCGCGCGGGAGGTTCCCGCAAAGAATGTGGGAATCGTGCTCTCGCGTGGGACGGCCTCGCAATGTATTGAGACGGCGCGTCCTTCACACTCAGGAATCACGCTGTCGCTCTGGACTTCCTCACGATGTATCGCTCGAGATTTCCTCGTGATTCATGCAGGACTGATGCCCCAGCGATCCGCCCGCTCGACTTGACCGTCTGGGCCCGCCTGCCCGACCCGCCCGTCAGGGTCCGCCCGCCCGTCCGCCCGTCCCGCCCGTCCGGTTCAGCCGCTTGTTCTCCTGCTCCTAGTCTCTCCCTTCTGCTAATCTCTATCTTGCTCCATCCTTCTCTCTACCTCTTGTTCCTTCTCTCCTCCCTCCCTCCCCTGCTTTCAGGGCTGCGCCAACTAAACCTGGCAGGTAAGGAAGGTCTACCCCCATTGGGGATACGATCGAAGATGACGAGGGCGGGTTACGAGACTTTGTGTGGAATGTGGAGTGGCGCGCGAGCAGATAAGAGCGGACAGTCTTAACACGATTGCGGATCTTGGTGATGCTGATGGCGACATTTATGTGATGATGGTGACGTTGATGACGACGACATTGCTGCTGCTGCTGACGAGGATGCTGCTGCTGATGATGACGCTACTGCTGCTGCTGATGATGATGATGATGCTGATACTGATGCTGATACTGATGATGATAACGATTATGATTGCGATGATGACGATGCTGAGGATGATGATGATGATGATGATGATGATGATGGTGGCGATGATAATGCTGATGCTGATGGTGATGATGATGATGATGAGACTGATGCTTCAGATGATGATGCTGAGGAGGACGACGCTGTTACTGATGATGATCATGCTGATGATGCTGTGGATGCTGATGCTCATCATGCTGCTGTTGATGATGATGCTGATGATGACGATGCTGATGTTGATGTTGTTGATGCTGTTGATGATGATGCTGCTGCTGCTGATTATGAGGATGATGCTGCTGATGATGATGATGCTGATGATGATTCTGCTGTTGATGATGATGCTCATGATGCTGCTGATGACGCTGATGATGACGATGCTGCTACTCATGATGGTGATGATGCTGATGATGCTGATGATACTGATGATGCGGATGTTGGTTATGCTGCTGCTGATGATGTTGATGCTGATGATGATATTGCTGATGATGACGGTGATGCGTTTGATGCTGATGCTGCTGTTGATGATGCGACTAATGATGAAAATGATGCTTCTGATGATGATGATGATGATGCTGATGATAATGGTGGTGATGATGATGGTGCTGATGATGATGCTGCTGATGATGATGAGGATGATGATTAGATTGCTGCTGCTGATGATGTTGCTGATGCTGGTGATCATTCCATTGCTGCTGCTGCTGATACTGATAATGATGATTATGATGATGCTGCTGCTGATGATGATGATGATGATGATGCTGCTGATGATGATGATGCAGATGATGATGATGCTGCTGCTGATGATGATGATGACGATGATGAGGATGGTGATGATGATGATGCTGATGATGATGATGATGATGATGATGATGATGCCGATGACGCCGATGAAAATGATGAGGATG